TTTCCTTTTCTTTTTTACAAATTTTGAAAATACAATAAATATCATTTTATATACTTTGTGCAAATAAAATATAATAAAACTTATTAATCAACATTTAATATTGTGAATTATTAAATGTGTAAAATACTAAGTAAATTAAAATTTCTGTAACATGCAACGAAAAAGAGTAAAAATAAATTGCACAGAATCAAAACAAGTAACATATATTAAATAACAAATAATAAATAATGAAACAATTAACCTCAACATTTGTTTTCATGATATTACCTTTTTCGAATAGGTTCTTTTCGTTTGTGAAAGTACGCATCTTTGTAGAAAATTATTTTGTCCTTCCAGTTTTACGAGAAAACGCAACATTTTCATGATCGTTCAAGTTTTACACTAAACTCAAGACTAAAATTTTATTGCCATTGCTACGTTAACCGGTAACCTCACAATTATATAAAATTTCTTGCACGTGATAATATTAAGATAAACATTAAAAGCTTCGATAAGTTTTTTTTTTTTGACAAATTACATTGAGATAACGCACGCATCTTTGTTTGCAAACCTTATTTTATCGCAATTTATTACGCCATTGCAGTTCTTTATTTAGAAGTTCATTTAATTTTGAAAACTTGTTATTATTTCTATTGAAATATATTGCAAATTAAATATACCAAATAAATTAATAAATTAATAGAATTAGATTACAATACACTTAATGAAAAACTTATTTATAAAATGAGAATAAAAGTAAATTTGTGAAATGAAACAAACCACTTATCATACGTAGTGTATTACATACCTATTATAAGTAATACTATCTATTTGTTTTAATTATTTAATGTTTTCCACGCATTCAAAAATTTCATTTATGTATGTACATTTGATAATTTGTTTTAAAGTTTTTTTTAAAGATATAAGGTATCTTTAAAAGGAATGGAAAGTTTTAAAACAATGATAATTCTATTAAAATAACTATATTTATATATAATAACAGCTTAATATATAACGTATTTATGTATACACTTCTTTCAGTTTGTTATAAAAAAATGAAACACAGTATTAAATACAAAAATCATTTATATTTAAACTAGTTTCATAATTTAATTGTTATTGTAATATTTTTTTTTTTGTAATAAAGTAAGCCAATTTCACAATTTACAATAAATCACAATAATTCTTTTGAAAGAAATAATTATTGTTATAAATAATCAACCTTTGTTATTTTGTCCATCGATCATGTTACATGGAATGAGAACTAATTTTGGAATCATTCCAGGTGGTGCAATAAATTGTTGAGTACTCTGAGGTATATTACGTCCAGAATACTTAAGCTCTGCTTCTGTGACTATTTTACAAATGTTCATTTTAATATCTGCTTGAGCCTTTGGAGGGAGTCGTTTAACAGTTTGTGCCATACTATCGAAGAAAAGTTCTATACTACTTTTCCCTTCAGGGGCCAGGTAGACTTGGTCATAATTATTTTGTGTGTCCTAGAACATACAATGTAAATTATGAAACGATATTAATTATAAAATACTATAGTTTGTTAAAGTTCAATCAGCACTGTAAACAAAACTTAGTTATAAATAGCTAAGAGTCTAAGCTATTGGTAAAGATAAAAAACCAAATAAGCTAGCGAATGACAGCCACTTGTTGAATTCAAGAGATTTTAATTATATAAAACTGACTTTACTTATTATGTCCTTCATATTTTTATTTCTGGAGTTAAAAATGCAAAACACACTCCTGCCTTAGTCATGTGCATCTATTTACCAGTACTGACTCAACTTGTTGAATGAACTATAGTTTTGTACCATTTCTACTTACTTCAACTTTAGAAGTTTTTACAGAATTATTTGCAGCTGGTGTAGTAACGAAAATTGGCGTATCAACTGTTTTATTTTTAAAAGGTGAAGTTTTCAAAATACTGTAAGTTGTAGGCACTTCCAATGAATCAATTTTCATTTTTTTTGGTCTTATTTTTCTATATTTTGATTGAATTTGTTGAGCATATGAATCAATATCATGTTGTACTGCATTTTCTACTTCTATACTTTTCACTACATTATCGCCATTATCATTTAATTCCATAGAATCACGATCCAAAACTGGATCTGCAGTTGTTTCTTCTAAAACTTCCAAATATTCACTATAGTCCTCATCATTGCGATCTTCTAATTGTTCTAAAAGACCTTCAGAACTAATTCCACCTGCGTTTATATCCTGTATGTAGTCTTCAGTTAACTCTATACTTTGAGGTTGATAATCCGATTCATACCTAAATAAACATTTTTATTAATATCTAGTTATTTTATCTGAGCAAATAAAGATAATATACATATATATATCGTGCAAATTTAATAAAATTACTATTAAATAAAAACTTGTTAGAAAAATTACATAATGCTCTTACGGAAACTTTAAGAAACTAAGATGATCTTCAAAAATCCATTTCTTTCTACGAACACCTTTCTCCGTCTTATTCTTATATTTAAGTATACGGCAGTAAGTATCCCTTAAGTTTTTCCATCTTAGTCTCACCCAAGTGGCTAAAAACATATTGATTATATTTACATACATGCCAGTTTATAAAAAATAAAGTTAAAACATCTTGTTTAAACTTGTGCTAACAAGTTTTAGCTAAACAAGAAAATAAAAAAAATGTTACATAAATATATACATTCTTAATATTATAATATCATAATAAAAATTACACAAAAATAAAACAGAACATTTTCATGCAATGAACAACTACGTGTGTTCCTTCAAATATCTTTTAAGTGCTGCAGTAAATTTTTTCCTAATACAGTGTTGAATATTCATGTAAACGTAAATTTGGAAGTTATCATCCGTTGCTGCTTACGTTCTTTTAGGTGAATATCCGAACATCATTTTCTCAAACTGAATTTTCGTGATATTCACCGAAATGAGATCGACGAAACAAAATTGCTGAGCACATCATCGAAATCACATAGAAACATCAAAGCAAACGTTTTGCCAGTAAGTGAAAAACAGTAACGTATATCAACAAGCGTGCAAGAATTATCCTAAAAAAAGTCAGAAAAGGAAAGTAGTTCGTACGATCAAGACCAAGTTCATCCGAGATCCTCTTCCAAACCTTCTGTCGAAATTCCTGAAGTTTGATGGAGGAACCTTTCACTTCGGCGCTGTATAAAACTGGATGTTGTTTTATCGCTTCGATGATCTTCAGCGAAATTTTATGCGAATCAGGCGGCATCGTCGGCACCATTTCGTCCGTTGAAAATCGCTCGAAGAAGTAAACTAGTCGTCGTCAATGTTGAAAACTCGATCCTATGTTTTCGATTCGATGACCGAACGAGGATCTTTCTGTCACGTGAAAATATTAGATTCGATTCACGATATACATATAAATACGAAAAATCTACTTAAGATTGTGAAATAAAATCGAACTGATCTCGTTTATTTTTTACTATTAATTACGAATTAACAGGTAGATCAAAATATTAAATTATGTAGATTTGATTATGTAGATTTGATATTACGATCAAATTTTTTTTACAAATAAAAACTGAAAATTTATTTAATTGAGAATGGAATTAAAAGTTGGATTTTTTGGTTAATTTGAATTTTATATGTTTCTTGCCACGAATGTTGTTGTTTGAGTTAAATAACAAGATCTGAATGATGTGATTGAAAGTTTCTTTAATTGTTGAGGCAGTTAAGGTTTGTGTCGCGTCCTAAAAATCGCTCGTTAAGTGTGCTGAAAAACAAAGGACCCGTAAATAAAATGACAATCGCCATTCTTTGCAATCAACTAAACTTCCGTCGCGCTATTTAACCGGAAGTCCTCGATTTATGTTTTTTTCCACTTCGTGTTATATGTTAGTACATATCACGTATCGATATTTGAGAATTTTGCCGTAATCAGATTCACTTTTTTTTATTTGCTTTTCAATGTAACATTTAATTTCGGTACTGTTGCCATGCCTTGATATACAGGGTGTCCCATAACTGATGGTTCAATCGAGCAGGAGCTGATTTTACATGAAAAAAACAAATTAAGAGGAAAGAATAAAATTTTTTCATTAAAATCTTTGTTTTCAAGAAAATTGAGTTTGAAAATATATCAAGTATATCTGTATCTAATTAATTCTGAATGTAACAGAGAAGAATAATTAACTGGAGGATATTTTATGGATGAAAACAAGTAAAATGTAGAGTAAAATTTTTTCGTAAAATGTTTCGTTTTCGAGAAAATCGAGTTTGAAAATTTATCAAGTACATGTTAACAAGTACAAGGCGATCTTCAATGAAATATATTTAAAAGTTATTTTCTTGAAAATGAGGCCTTAAACGAAAAGATTTCGTTCTATCGTTTTCACTTATTTTCGCGTTTACAGTATCCTCGATTATTCACGTCTATTCGGTACGGAATTAACTAAATTCAGGTATTCTTGGGAAATTTTTAAACTCGTTTTTCTCGAAAACGAAGGCTTTAACGAAAAAATTTTGTCTTTTCTTTTCGACTCGTTTTCTTACTCATCTCCATTCGAAATTATCACCAGTTATGGGACACCCTGTATAAAAGAATTCATATATTATTAATGCATTATATGTAATAAATTTAAAATAAACATACTAATTTTGTTAATATACCATATAAATCATAAAATTCTATAATATTAATACAAATCAAAATTATCTTTAAAAAAAAATTGTAAAATAATAAGGTGATAATAAACGAAAGATAAAAAAAAATTACAATTAAAAAAATTATATGTTCTATTACATGCTTAATATTGTTTTATATATTGCTGTTTTACTTTATAACACAATGATAATTGTATCTGAAAAATTAATAATTTGTAAACGAGCAGTTTGTGAATTTCATGATTTTTATGATATTACAATACCATCTTGCTGTGTTATATAGTTCATGATTATGCTATACTTGATTTTAAGCTTGGTTAAGTAGTCTTGAGATAGACAGAACGATATCAAGAAAATTAATATTGAATTGAAAAAAAGAAATGGCACAATTACCATCACCATTCATTAGTCATACTAGAAAAGTATGTAGTCTTTACAAACGTGCTTTACGCGCGATAGAAGATATGAATATTAAAAGACACGAATATAGGTAAAAAGAAATGTTTTAATTAAATTTAACTGTATATAATTATTTTCTTTTTATGTTCTAATATGAATTGTTATAAATAAGCATAAATTTTATTCGATGTTGATAGCTTTTACTTTAATCGATGTTTGTTTTTGAAATAATTTTATTTGTTACTTGTTTTGTTATATAATCATTGTTTTATTATGTATTATTAATGTATCATTGTTTTGTTACGTATCATTATTGTAATCATTATTGTAATTATTGTTTTATTATGTATCATTGATGTATTGATAAATTATTATTTATATTAACTGATGATCTATTAGGTCTGACAAATTTATATTCTGAATTTTTTTGAATATTTTATAATGTCTTTTTTTTATTATATATATTTAATTAAAATTTTCTACAAGTATTTTACAATTGTCTTTTTTTATTATATATATTCAACTGTTCATTTAAAGTTCTATTATTTTGTTGTGCATATAATAATGTTCTAAACTTCTAAGTTATAATAATATATTTTAAACTTCTTTTAAAATATTTTATAATCATCTTTTTTTTATTATATACGTGTAACCATTTACTTCAAGGTTTAATATTTATTATTAATTATTAAAATGTAATATTGTATTAAAAGAATTTTAGAAATATTTATCAATATGTATTACTTTAATCTAGATACAATGCAATTTTATTAAGACAACGTTTCGAAGAAAATCGAAACATAAAAGATCTTCGCGTTGCTAAAGAATTATTATTGGCTGCAGAAGAAGAATTATTCCAAAATAAACATCCTGATCCATCAGTCTTTCCTGATAGTCCAGGCGGGATAGCTCATGGACGTTTTATAGACCCACCAGATTCTGTAATGGATTTCTGGGATCCAGTTGAAAAAGCTAGATATCCGAAATATTTTGCACAAAGAGAGAAACTTAAGGAAGAATATGTAAAATTATATCAAAAATTGTATGTCAATTCTAAAGAAATCAAAAAACCCAGTTAAGTGATTTAACTAAAACGCATTGTTTATGTAGATATTATAGTGAAAATAAAGTTGTTTGTTACGTGTATTGATTTTGTTATTTCATAACGACTAGTTATGAAATAGAATAGAAAACATAGAATAGAAAACATATATATTTTAAACAGTCTTTGGAACATTTTGGACATTTAAATCTGAAATGGTAACATTTATAAAGTTGATTGTTATAAATCTTAGTAGGAATAAATTCGACAGCAATAATAAAATTTAGACATAATTTAATTAGAGGCCTTCTAGTAGTTTTGTGAAATGTCTGTGGTAATGTGTTTGATAACTGATGTTAAACAAATGAAGTGAAATAATTACAGTGAAGCAGCATGTACAGTAGTATGTGTTTAGTTCTCAAATGTACTTAAATTCATTTTATTATTAATTTTTGTATTAATATTGTTAGTAATTGCTTAATATCTTTGGAAAATAAAGTATCTTGTTTATATATGTTAATTTTATTGTTATAGGTATTGTTATAGGTCATAGTTAGTTTAACGATGTTCTGAGAGAGAGCGTAGCTTTGTACTTAAATCAAATGTAGACTTGCAGGTCTAGTATTTTATTCTGTGATGAACATTGTAAACCGCACAATATATGTATACATTTTTTAGGTTTCGATTAATGTTATTCATTATTTATCATTTTTATTTAATGTTCTTAAAAGAATGGCTAATTTAGAAGTATATAAAGAACAATTGCAAAAGATTCGTCAATATGCACGGGAAAATGGTATTACGGAAAATGAAATTGATAAAGCTTTACAGAATTCCTTTCGTATTCTCGAAAAGAAAGAGAAGAAAGTTAATCTTTGTTTTATTGCAAAAAGTATGGTTGTAATATTATTTATAATAATTGTATGCTTTATATCTTTTGACAAAAAGTTTTTAGTAGTGATGTTAATGAGGAATTTGCAGAATTCCATCTATCCGGGCTTAAAATTACTTAGAAAAATAGCTGTGCCGGTAATTCAACATTATCCTTCTTTATCTGGTATGTTGATTTACGTGACGTTATTACAAAATTTTTCTTGTATAAAAAATCCTTTATATGATCATAGAATTATATGTATAATGTAAATTACTAAAAACTTGTATGTAATAAAAATATATTTAAATGTAAAAGACCAGCAGTTACTCTTTAAATCTCACATCATTATAATAATGACAATAATTGATTTCAATAATACTTTTTAGTTTTATTAAAATTTTATATTGTTTTTATTTTACATTATTTTATAGAATTATATGATGAATGGTGCATATTAGAAAATCCATATTTTTATGTAAATGATATGGATTGTGGACCCTGTAGCGTTGTACATTTCATACCTGACTTAACTGGTCATCATATATCTAGATCATTTAATCTTGGAATTCCTTATATAAAAACAGAAAATTTTTCGGATATTCATATGAAAGATATACAAGAATTATTGTGGCAAAATTCTGAAGTATTTAAAACAGATGCTATGAAAGTATTCTCTAACAATAAAACTTACAGGTACCATATATATAAATAAACAAAAATATTAAAGAGCTTAAATAAAAATTTTAAGCAAAAGATATATCATTTTAGAAATATTCAAGATGTTATGGAAAAAAACATGGATTTAAATCTTTCCAAAAATTTATATAATCATGTTACATGGAGAATTAATCGCATGGCAGCAGGAAGAATTTTAAGAAAATTATTCCCAAAACCTATTGATACACCAAATTGGTGGGAACAAAGTACAGAAAAATTTATTTTTTTTGATGAATCAAAATCACCACCTTATTCTTTAGTATGTAAGATGTTATCTTTTGGTCTGCATGAAATATTGCTTTATAAAAAATATTAATTATTATATATACAATAATTATTATATGTACAATAATTATATTGTTATTATATATAATTATATTGATATTATATATTGATATTATTAATATAATTATATTGATATTATATATTGATATTATTATATATTGATATTATATATTGATATTATTAATATAATTATATTGATATTATATATACAATAATTATTATATGTACAAAATGTTCCTGCAAAAAAATATTGTAATACTTGAATATATGTATACATTATTAGTTTAAAAATGTTATATTAGAAATAATTATTTTGTTTATAGAATAACTTTTTTAATCAATACTATTTTCAAAACTTTAGCCAAATACTGAATGTAGTAATATAATGATAAGATGTACAACTGGTACAAGGTTGATAAAAATGATAGCAAGCTCAGAATGTAGTGCATCTTGTGAATCCTTTACAGTGTTATTATCTGCTGGAAAAACTTGTAAGTACGTTAATATATAATCATTTAAAGAAGATATAATTAATTTAAGTTTGATTATTTAAACTATTTACTTTATTCTTGATATAACATTAACAAACTTTTATTTACATTTGATTTAAATAAATGTTTTGAATATTACGTGATAATTAATATTGTTTAAATATTTGATTACCAGAATCATATTTCTTTTTAGTATGGTATAACTGGTGGTATTGGCGACCAGTCAGCCTTCCAGCTTTAAATTCAACTAGTATTACCATTAGTTATATGACTTCATTCTGTTGAATTATTTTTTGAGGTAACTGAATTAATTTTATATAACTAAGTTTTCTACTAAAAAAATTCTGTACACTAGTATAGTTGTTTTTATTACTATTCCTTCTCCTCAAACAGTATTTTAAATAATTGATTTTATGAAAAATTTCATAAATGAAGCAATACATTAATATTTATAAAATAACAGTTTAAATTTGTGCTCATTTTGTAAAATTGTAATAAATGCTTGATATTATAGTACAAAAAAAAATGTATCAAATGCACAATATATGACACAAGTTAAATTACAATTAGAGAAAAGTAAGAAATCTAATAGTACATATTTATGATTTTGACATAACAGTATATATAATATCATATATAAAATTTTATTTATTGGAAATGAATTTTTTAAAACTAATTTAAGTTTAAATACTAAATATATTTTTTTAAATAAATAAATTTTTGTTTAAAATTCTTTTCTAAAGTTTAATCATACTTTTGTTGTACTTTTTGTTTAAATATAATAGGCACTAATGGTAATATAGCACATATACATAATACTATAATACTATTCCATGACCATGCGTCAGTAGATGACGTTAAATTTTGCAATGTTTTACCTGCTTGAATGGCAATAAAAGATGGTGGAGCAACTCCAAAGAAAGTGCCTAGAGCAAATGGTGCAAGAGGAACTCCAATTACAGGACTGGCTAAATTTATAAACCAATTTGGGAGTAATGGAGTTATTCGAAGAAATAGCATGTAATTGAAAAGATTATTTTCGTTCTCCTTTACTGTTAACGACCATTTTCTTGCTTTTTCTGGGAAATATTTAAAAAGTAATTTACGTCCCAAAAGTGATGAAAGAAAATAGCACAATGATGCTCCTACTGCACTGCAGGTGCATACTAATAACCAGGCTAAAGGAAAGGGGAAAAGAAAACCAGAAAGGATTGAAAGGAAAATAGAACCTGGAATAGCAAATGTTTGTAAACTAAACTTATGTTAAGGGCTCTTCTAAATTGTACTATTAAATTGCACATCAACTATATGTTAATATTTGAAGATAAATGTATATATTATATATGAAAAATAGAATATAATCTAGGTAAATACGAAATGATATGTTTTTAAAGTCTATAAATTGTTTTGAAATTAGAAAAAGACAGTATTAAAGGATACAAAATATATGTAATAAACAATCCAGCGAGCACTTGAAAATAATAAAGATCTTTATATCGTCCAAGAAGTTTACCTAAATTTTTAGCTTCTTCAATATGTAATGGTAATTTCATATATTGTCGTTCATCTCTGAAATATAACAGATTCAAATATCTCTCTATATGAAACTTTATTATAATCTTTTCTTACTCTGCAAGTTCCGGAAAAGTAGTATAAACATAAAGTAATGCTGATAATGAGGTAATAAAGATCACACCAACTGTTAAGATTGATTGCTTCGCTGATACCCCCTCGGGGGAATCTGAAAATATATTTAAAATTTTATTAACATGTACAAACCAAGACTTTTTGATTAAATTAAATTAAATTAAAATATTCATCAAAGTTTTTACAATATATTTTTCACAATACATTTTACATAATTTTTGGAATTCAAATATAGTAAAGCATAAGTAAAATAGTTATATCTATTTAATGATAAAAAAATAGCAATTATTAATTTAAAAATTAGACTAAATTGTCGTTTAAAATTTTCTTTGAGATCACATAAAATTATATTTATATTAACAAGGTACAAAAATTACATAAAATCATATAAAATTATATTAATTTACATTAATAAAGTACTATTGTATAAAATTGACTGTATACATTACATAAAATATTATACATTACATACATAAAATATTATACATTAATAATTTAAAAATGATAAATAATAATTTACTTTATGTGTATTATGAAAATTCAATTTTAAGGTTAGAATTTTCTTAATTTCATTTTTATGTTATATATTAAATACTGGATTTTATATTAATAAAACAAATTGGAAAATTAAATATATCAGCAGCCTGAAATTTCAATATTTATGACAATTATCAATTAGACTAAACAGAATTCTATAAACATTTAGCATTTAAATTTTGAACCTGTTTTCAACAAACTCAAGTAACAAGTCAGAAGTTATTTAAAGGAAAATCAATATCTAGTTTATTATTAAAAGATCATATTCTAAAATGTTATCCTACCGATGCTTTGCTTCGTTCTAGTTTCTGTTTTCATAACTAGATTGTTACTGTTTTCTTCGAAGTGAATTGCTCAACAATTCAAGATGGCGCGAAAGTAGAAGACTGTCTTTTTTTTTTACAGTGAGTTAAACAAATTAATATTTTTCTGTAATTTTTCAGTAAAAAATTTAACAGTACTTTACTAATTTAATGTATTCCTTATTCACTAAACATAAATTTAAATTATTTATGTAAATATATACTTACATATAGATATAGCTAAACTTGAATAAAATTTTATAACTTGATAAATGAATTAAAATTTTATTTAATCAAAATTTTTATTATTATAAGTTCAGGTTCCTTTTTTTTTATATTTATTATATTTTCTATGTCTTACCATTACAATTTAGATAAATATTTATTTTGACAAATTTTAAAGATTTTAAATCAGCTAAATATATAAAAAAAGAATCTCCTGCATGAACCTTGTGTAATAATATCCGAAAAATTTTTTAAATCAAACTGTTAAAATTATTATATAATTTTATTACATCTATGTTATATTTAAATTAATATATATACTAATAATAATTGTATAATGTTATCGCTCGCAAATTATATAGAGGAAACAGTCTGTTTCAAATCATAATATTCAATTCCTTTTATACGTTTTATAACGTATTAAGACAAATTGAAATTTTAATTTAATTCCAATGCATCTCATTATATCTGATACATCTACCTAAAACATTGCGTTTTATCATTTTCTTAGCAGACCAATTGTCATTAGCAGAAAATCGTATGCTTAAGTAGTGAAATATTAGTATTCTTTCACTAGTTGTTGCACTGTCAACAATAGGTGGCGACGTTCGAAGCCATCGCTATTTCCTTTCTCTTCCTTTTTATTTTACCGCGTGGCTCCTCTGTCTTCTTTCATCTTCTTCCACCTTTGTGCGTCTCTTTTCTTTCAATAGCTCCCTCCTTTTCACAAACGTGTTCTCTTCGCAAGGGAGGATCGTGGGCGGAAATTAGAATAACCAGTCTAGTCAGTTGTATTGTGGTTGGCGGGCGGTGCGCGTCTATTCCGCAGCAGCGGAGATTTTCTTTTTCTCCTTTCTTTTTTGAAATACCGCCTTTCCCGTCCGTATTTCCAATATGTGGAAAAGAGATTTTCGTTAACTTCGCTCTTAAAGAGACGTAGAATCTTGTAAAGCTTAACGTCTGGATCGATCATTCGTTTGAATTCGTTCGAATGGGAAGTTCAATGATTTTTTGTGTACCCTGGATATTTTGTTGGTTTCTCTTCCGGTGATCGATCTTGGATACATCGATTGGATTACGTCATGACAGGCCTGCATTTATCGAAGGCAGCGTATGTATAATTACTGTGTGGAATACTTCTTCGTGCAAACTCGCTGTCAGTGTGTATTCTCTTAAGCGTTATTTCAATTCGACGAAATATTTTCGACTTCACAGGTTTTTATTTCATTGTGTTTATTGAATGCTCTGTTGTACTACTTCCGTTTGTAAGATTTTAAACAGCCTCATTCATTCAACGATAATTTATTCAACATTCAGAGTGACGGAGTATAATCTTCACGCGTATACGTATATTTATTATAATGTCAGAGATATATCTATCAGCAAATTCTTCAACTTCAAATTCAAAACGAAGATTATGTTCGAACTATTTTACTCTTTTATCTAATGTAAAATTATAATTGTAAGAAAAAAGTTAGATTTAAAAGTGTTGAAAATCTGAAATACATTTGAAAGGTTTGAAGGTTTAATTAGAAATATATTTAATTAGATAAAATGTGAAATGTGGAATGTAACGAAATGCTGTTGACTTTTACGTCTGTATTCAATGACACAGCAAACGTATAAAATATTAATGAGACTTATGAATGATAGTATAATATGTGTTAATCGCTAGTCATTGAGATACTAATAAATTAAGAGTCGCAGATATCGATCGGTGAAATTAAAGTTTCTTCTATATTGAAGAACAATGCCAAACATCAAATATTATATATTATATATAATTATTGTAATATATTATTATATAAAATTATATTATTATATATATTATTATATAAAAATATTATATTATATAAATTATATTATATTATATAATATTTTATTATTTTTAAATTACATTTATTATTATTAAATTATTTAAATAATATTATATAAATATTATATAAAAATATTATTATATATATATTATTATATAAAAATATATTATTAAAAATTATATATAATTATTATAATATAATATATTATATATTATGTACAAATATTATATATATATTTATTATAAATTTTATTGTAAGTCTTATTTGTTTATTACAATTTGATTTATAAATTCATAAAATCAGACAATTAGAACCGCAGTGAAATTTCTTGACCGACAGTTCTATTCATATTTACTTTGATTTGTCAATTGAAATATAAATTTAAATATTTTAATTATCAATTATTTTATTTCAAATGTTTAAAAATTAAACACTTTATCAATTTAAATAACTTATCAATATAATTTACTAATTTTCTTTATATCAAACCATTTTTTTTAAATTTATTACAAATTATTAATTCAAATATAAATACTTGATAAAATTATGCTATACTTGGCAATTGTTTTTAAGGGAAAGGCAATATTGTCGTCGTGTTATTTGCAAATATCAATATCATAGAAGAATCTATATGGCGATTCAAATTATAATTATTTAACTTTGAACAATTCGCAAATAGCTGCGAATTTCTAACTCAGATTGTTCATTTACACATTCTGTACTTGATTTTATCAAGTTATAGCTAAAATAAGTTAAACAAGCTAATGTAAAAATTATATTAAATTATTACTCTTGAAAGATTAGGATCGAGACATCGTGATTCTAGTACGCAAACTGCGTGTACATATTTGCCACGTAATCGAGAAGTGCCATTGGCAGACGCGCGCGCATCAAATTTTAAATAGCCCGGGAGAAACCTTCACCACAGATAGAATGTTACGCTTTCTATCCGTGTGACACAATTTTCTATTTCCAAGCCGTTCGACAACTTCGAATCGCATCGAATCACAGCTGTGTGCATTTCCCATCTGTTCAAGCTTTA